AGATTCACTGCAGACAGATGTCGCTCCTTGGACCTGGGCTCTGCTATGTGTTCCCCTAACAGTCTCCCTGAGGACTGGCATCTGTGCACCATCTAGCACTGGCTTTTTGCCCTTGTGTTGCACCTTTCCTTCTCCTAGTTTGTGTGTTGTAGTACAGTTGACCATATAGGCTCCTTATTAATTAGCAGCTACTGAGCATTAAAAGTTAATTTAAAACCCACTGGATTGCAATGTGAAGAGTGTTCCTTTCATTACATTGTTCATTATTTTAAATGTATAATTTACATATATTATTGTTTAATTTCATCTAATTTTTAGTTACAGGGTACTAAATGGAAGATTTACAGGATTTATGAGTAGAAATGGAAGATTTATTAGATGGGCATTTTTAAGGTTAAGCTTATGAATAGGTATACATTTCTGAAACTAAATGTGTTTATGTCCATCTGGGATTGTGAAATAATATTGTGACTATTGATCAAAATGTTTAAAAATATTTTTTCTTTTTTCTTTTTTTTTTCTTAGATAATGGATCTTAGTCTTTTCTATACTTGCTTTTTTGTGTGTGTGTGATTTTTGGTTTTTGCTTTTCTTTGCAATTTTTTATGTTCTAGGAGTGTAGCAAATAATGCAGAAATCCTGGAGTAATCTTGTCTTTACCAGAATAAATCTCTACTTTGAGCCTGTACCACCATTATTTAGGGTCACGGCTTGTGGTTTGTTTTTTTTTTTAAACTGGTTATACTCTTAGTTAAGCAGGGACTATCCTTTGTTTCATCTTTCTCCTTTCTAAGGAAATTTTTCTTTTACCTGACCCCGAGTTTACTCTTCCTTTACCACTCACTTTCCTTTTCTCATCCTGTATCAGGTACGTTGTCTAGTTGCTTCCATGGAGGTCTTTGTGCACTTTCTTTGTGTATTCCCCTTGATATGTTTCCTTTTCTCTGAACCTCTTGTTGTGTAGAGGATTTGGTAATACTAATATTTTTGTCTCGACGGACAGGAGAAAAAAGACTACTGAAAAAGGCTGCTTTTTCAAAAGTTTTGAGGAAGGTGGAGGCCAAAATACTCAGAGGAGGCGCCCTGCCCTGCTGAAAAAATTACATATCTAATTCCTGTAATATGGATCATCTCATAAATGTTACTATTTATGCTGCTTTTGTCTTAGACAGTTCGTGGATGAATAGAATAATTCAGCTTGGAAGAGACCTCCAGAGGTTGACTAGTCCAGCCTCCTGCTCCAAGCAGGATTAAAACTGAATTCAGATCAGCTAGTGGAGAGACAGTACATCCAGTGTATGAGTCGTTCCACCAGCATCCAAGCATGGAAATAGGTATAAGAATTCATGCTTAGCAGATTCCTGTCATGCTGCCCTTCATCCTAGTCATGACAGAGGAGAACATAGTGATCAGCCCAGTTGCCTTGTTTGGCAAGGGTAGATGAAGTTAATTCTATATCTGTACACAGTGAACTCCAAAGTAATGAAAAAGAAAAAAGTGTAAATAAGAGAAAAACCTGATGTAATTATTGAAAATGGACAAAAGTAAGTGCTGCTGAGGTGCCAAGTTTGATCCTCCTTTCATACTTCTCTTAAATAATCAGTCAGGTCAGACTGTATCTGTCAGAGACCATTCTTCTTGTTTTCCAATTTCATCGGCTCAGATCTCTTCTGAGAGATTAGAAACCTAGTCGAGTGTATGCTGGTGGCTGACCGGAGATACCTCTGTGGATAACCTTATGTATCTGATGATTTTGGTTCACCTTCCAGAAAAATGAATCAGTAGCTATGGCAGCCTCCTATTTTTGTGTCTTTCCTAAGTCTCTCACTTATCTACTGTGCTCTGTTATTTCCTCTTGCCTTAAAGCTCTGTGCTAGGATCAAGACTACTTCTTCATATTTAACAGCTGTTTAACAAAAGCAAGATCTGATTTGAGCACAGCAATAGAATTGAGACCGAATTGTTCACAAAAGGCTTCCTTAACTTCTGACTAAAATCCTCGTGGCGGTAGATATTTTAATAAAGTGAATTGATCATTTGAGTTGGGCTATGACCGAGGTTTTTAACAGTGCGTCTGACATTGTGTTGGTGACAATGTGTTGTGGAGGCACTTGAGCTAGATCTCAATTTGTTAATGATTTGGATATAGTTTGCAGAGTGGAACTGGTGTAGTTTTCAATATCTGCCTGAGAAGCTTGGTGAATATTTCATTGGTCACCCAGAATGAATGAAATTATGACATTACATTTGAGGATGTGATTTATTTTCTTGTCCTCATCCTTTCCGATAAATATCAGAAAGCAATTAGTTGTGTTTAATAATGAATTATGAGTGCCATAACCATTCCTATATAAAATCACAAACTTTCCAAATGAGAAAGATGTATAAAAGAAAATTTGACTTCTGAAAGGCAAAGCAGGCAAAGGCCACACTGTAATTTCAAGGTGGCAAGGTCAGGGTGTAATTGTTACTCCCTCAAGCTACTATTTTCTAGTTGTCAATATTTTCTGTTTGGATTTCAAGAAAATGTGCAAATTTTAGCTGAATTACATGTGAAAACTTTCAAGAAAAAAATATTGTTTTCAATGGATTTACTAAAAACAAAGATAATTTTATGCTGTTAAGTCCAGAGCACCTTCTTCACAATTGAGATAGTATTGCTGGATACCACCTTAAATATTAAACTAGCTTTCAGTTAAGGTGAAATAAAAATAAGATCACATTTTCTGAAAATATATTGTTTTGGAAAAGCAGTCTTTGGTTGAAGTGCCAGGGCAGCCAATATACCATGAATCCAAAACTGGTCATAAAAAATTTTTCATGTCCTTATAAATTTTTATTAATTGATAAATATTCATTTAGTTAAATGGCAGGGTCATCAGGCATTTTGAAATGCATCAAGTTAGTTGATGGGGGTTTTTGTACCAGAATGTATTACTTTGATAGCTTTTATTCTATTGTAACCCTTGTTCCTACTTCATATGAACTACTGTACTTTGCAACATATTTGGGTTGTAAAAAAAGGTCTTAAAATAAGAGCATGATTGGCCAATGCTGTAAATGAAAAGCCCAAATATATTCTTATTTTCTGGAGCAATGCTGAAATTCACTATCAGCTCAAATTCTGTTAGGATTCTTTTATATTTTGGGCTTATAATATATTTGTGTTTAACCTTCTCAAAGTGTAGTCTTCACTAGTGGGGTTTTATGTATGATCAGACTAGTTGAGAGGAAGATGTATACAGAGAAGCCTTTAATGGGAGCTAACTGCTTCTGTGGGCCCAATTAAGACTATCCAACTGTGATACAGAGTCCCCTGAGAAACGGTGTGGTCTGCTTGCCTGGATTTTCTGAGGTGGGGGGAAAGAGGCCTAGAACAAGAGAATATCCAGTGCAGCTGTGAAGAAAAAAATATTTTAAGAGTTTTCTTAGAGAAAAAAAACAAAACAAAACAAACAAGAACCCGCAAAAAACCCCAAAACAAAAGTAAAAAGCCCAACAAACCCAACCCAAAACAAAACAAACAAAAGAGCAGCCCTCAAACTTTTGGTGTGCAGTATTAACAAATGTTGAGGTCAGCTTTACGTATGCACTGCATTGTAGACTTGATACTGTAGTAGCTGTGCCTGAGATCTGGATGCGTTGTTGGTCCAAAATCAATCTTGTTGCTCCTCAGAAGGCAATGAGAGATAATAAGTACTATTCACCTGATTGCCTTCCTGTTCTGAGACAGCTGGTGACGCTTGTCTTCCTGATAACCAGGAGTTTCAGATCTAAGGCAGGGATAAAGAAAAGCTGGGAGCTTGCTGAATCTAAATTTGACAGTCGATGGCTGTGTAGAGGGTCAGGAGGGATAGAATCTGTGACACGTATAAGAAAGGAACAAAATTTATCTCCTCTGGTTGCAATGATTAGATGTCTCTTTGTCTGGCTTTCTTACAGTGGATGATTGATTGTACCCGCCAGCTGGCTAATATCATAATTAACAAAGTTGCTACCATGTCTGAGAAGTTTAATCGAAAAAATTGCCGGCAGTATGATGCCATTGTCACAGAGATCAGAAGCGCTGCAGTGTTGACTTTTGTACTGGTGGAGCCGCAGGACTATGTAGATGTGCTGAAAAGTCTTTCGCTAGGATAACTAAAGGTATGTTTCTTTCCCTATACATTTCTTCACTGTTAGTTCTCTTGAAAAATGAAATACATGGTCCTTTGATGATACCTTTCATTTCAAGGTGCCATGTGAAGCTATTCTGTTGTATTTTAAAGCAGTTGCAATGGCAATCTAGAATATGTTTTATCAATGCGTCAAAAGGTGAATAGTCAAAACTGTAGTTCATGCTACTCACCCTTTCTAAGTGGTCTTCAGTGTCTTGCCAGATGCTTTTTGCAAAAAATACGGATGGAGGTGTTTTCATAGCTAATTTTCTCAGTTGGAAGGACTACAAATACTGTTGACAGTCTATGTTCTAGGAACTTGTAGTTGTTTGGGGTTACGTTTTGCAATATTTATTTTCAATTATTACTTCAAGTTAGAATGTAATTTAAAAGGTATAAAAAAACCCCAACAACAGGGAAAATCCCATATTCTTGCGTCCATAATTCAGTGTTAGAATGTCTCGGTAAAATGCTCTCTTTTGTATATGTGTATTTGTCTGTGTGTTTGTGCGTGTAAAAGGAGAGCAGCATCGGTGCTGGTAGCTGGAGATTCACTTCACACACAGCACCTTTGTAAAATATTGGCTGAGAATCTCATTCCTTTTTTATATTTACTTAGTTTTCCAAGTTAAAAATTATTCCACTGAGCTCTTTTTCTGTGCAATTGTATTTTTACATGTGTGTGTGTGCTCTGTGTGGTAGTTCAGTTATGCTCTGGAGTGTGTTGAAAATGCCAGCCTGACATATTGCTAATGAGTGTGCATATTGACAGTGACGGGGGCGTGTGTCTGTCTGTGTGCCATATATTAAAACAAAAAGAGGAGAGAGACGGAGACAGAGAGACACAGAGAGACACAGAAGGAAATATTGGGATGGGAAAGAACAGTTTATTTACATTACGGTATGTCAAAATGTTATTATGGCTAAAAAATCCATTTTAAAGAGACGTGAGATTTCTTCCTCACAGGAGCTGATATGGCCATGGTAGGAGGATAAGGGAGACCCATTTATTTTGGTGATATTAGTATTTTTCTGCCAAGTAATTTTGACTTTTTGGTACCAGTATCTAAAATTTGGAAAATGAATTGTTTGCATTGTATTTCAGTACTGTAATGAGCTCTTCCTGAGTTTTCTGTTGCTTTTCTCTGTATCTTTACAGGTAAACTAGTTCTGAGCATTCAGATGGAATTGTTTCAGTAGAATTTTGAAGGAATGTATTGTTGTATAGCTGAAATAGCTGATGTTTACCTAAAACCAACTTTTTGTTGAGATGTGCTCATTTCCATTTGATAACTTTCTGTTTCAAGTTAAATAATTTTCAAGTTTTGAGCTGATATTATTGCAATGATTATTTAAAACTAATTCTGACTTGAATTTTTCAGAGAGATTTTTCAGTTCTCAGTCAATTTAATAGCAGATAAATTGTTTTTAATTATTAGACCAAACTGAAATGATCAAATATATATAATTTTTTAAAAATTTCTTTATTTGTTAATGGGCTATTCCCCAAAAGAGACTTATATTTTGTGAGGAAATACTTCTTTGCAGGCCAGAAACATATTCATATCATCATTATTATTCCTACCCTTGGTAATGGATTCTAGATTTTAACTTATCCTTTTCAATCTACTGCTTTTCAAAGATTTGCTAAGCAAAATTAAAAATCTATATTTCATTTTGAATAGAAAATGCTATAAACAGTGGCAAAATAGATTAGTATTATGATTGCAGACAATAGGGAAGATTAAGTTACTAAAACAGTATATTGTTGTTCTAAACTAAACCCTGTAATATTTTGTGTAATTGAGACTTTGTGCATTGTTAGAACTCGGTTGGAATATCAAACGGTTGTGAGGATTAGAGCAGACAACTAAAGCAATGTCACAGTAGATGTGGCTGGTTTTTAACAGGATTATCTTCTGAGATGTGTAGAAATGAGCTCTTGTAATAGTTTCATAGGAATTAATAATTTTAGTAAAATGTTAATGGCAAATGTGCTAATGTAAAGAATTAGAGGATTAGCGATGCATTCTTTTGCATGGAAATAAGAATATAATAAATGTCCTGCAGGTGACTGAAGCTACTGCAATTTTATTGGGGATTAAAGTTTGATTGACCTTTGCTGAGGTGATTAACCCTTCTGAAATTAAAAGCCAGAAGTAAATTATTCTGTCCAATTTAAATGCAAACACGAATGACACAGCATACTGTTCTAAGTGTAAGAGAAAAAAATGTTTTCATTTTCCTTTTGCACTCAGTGAGATGTGATTGCAGACAGCACACTGGGCTGTGGTAGAACTGACCAGTGGCACCTTGCCTTTGCTCTGCTCATTCCCGCTGGAGCAGCTGTGCCACAGGGACGCTGAACTTCGGAGCAGCTGCCTGCAATGAACCTTCACATGCAGGAATGTTGGCAGGAGCGCGTGGAAGCACATCAGCAAGGTAAGCAGTACAAATCACTGTAGATATGTTTTATCTGCTCGTGTAGACCTCGAACCAGCTGATGCACACACAGGCAGGCAGCGTAACACAGGTGAGGGTCCCTGCCTGGCCTCGCAAGGCAGCTTGTCGGAGCTGGGCTGCTTAGTTGCGATCCATCGCAGAATTAGAAATAAAGTGTGTGTATACTGTTTGAGGGTTTTTTTCCTTTTCCCTAATCCTTAAAAGTCGGATGGACGAGCTTGCAAAATGCACTTTTTGACTGACAGAATATTCCACAAGTGCAGACTGAGTGCAAGTGTATGAATTGCTGTGCTGTACAGGGTTGTGATTCCCATCCTTCCCGCAAATGTGAACAAGTGGTTTTTTCAGATTGGAGCCAGTACATCATGCTGAATGTGTAGGATCAGGACACTGTCTTAGCAGCTCTCTAAAGCCTGTGGGATTGCTTGCATGTGTAAAGTCACGCAGGTGGTCATCAGAGTCACAGTGGCTGTGCTACTGAACAGCATTTAAACATCTAGAAAGTAAATGTCCGATAGATTTTATAATTCTGATTCATATCACAGTTGGTATGTTTGTGTGCAAACTTTATTACTTAATATTAAATTGGAAAGACCCCAGCAATACGCTTGTTGCATTTTTTTATAGATCTTTCGTTTAAAGTTGAACACTTAAAAATTCCTCCCAGAGTATCTGCCTTGCTCGTTTGTGGGTTTTTTTTAGCAGACCAATGAATGTTGGGGCAGTGACTTGTTTTATAATGAATTACTCTTAATTTTCCCAGAGTAAGAGATCAGTGTGTTGCTACAAAACAGCGTACTGTCTAAAAGTAGTTCTGGAGGACTATAACAACTCTCTGAGGGCTTAAATTTACACTGACTAGAATAATTTTAAACGGATCCAGTTCATGTATTTTTGTTACTTTTTTAAAGAAATTTGTGTGTTTGCTAAAAGCACAGAAATAGTGGTAAAATAGAAGCAGTTTAGTTACTTGAGGTTGGTTTAGTTTGCATAAACAAGCCCTTGAATCATTACTGTCTCCATCCTCCACCTGCTGGTCCGGGGGAGAGAGACAAGTGGGTCAGGTCTGCGCCCAGAACTCTTCATGGTCCTTGGCACACACTTTACTGGATCTACCATAGAGTTTTTTCTTTTTACTTTTTTTTTTTCTTTCTTTTTCCTTCCTCTCCCTGAGTCTACCTCTTCCTGCCCACCTGAGAAGAGATAAAATGGCTCTTTGAAGGCTTTTCCTTGCATGCCAGCAGCAGTAGTACTGGGAATTGGGCTGAAGGGCAGAAGGGCTACTGCAACTGTTTGGTCTCGAGTGGACTTCCTGCCTAGGAAAATTTCCTATCCTTTCACGCAGCTGTAAGGCATTAAAATGATAATGAATGTGCTGTGTGTATTCTGTATTCAGTTTTTCTCCTCACTTTTCATCATGGAAGATTTTGTATTGCATCTGTCAAGGTAGGGAAGTCCAAGGAATTGCAGTTCAGAAATTAAGGACCCTGAGGTAGCAGCTCACTTCTGTCTCGTCTTTTCATTTACACTTTAAACAGCCTTCAGAGAGATGGGTTGCTGCTTCTGGGACCCAGTGAAGAAAGTGAGGAATAGATAAAAGCTAAACTTGTGGTGGAATGACCTAGATGGAACAGCTGGCAAAAGTATAGAGGGGATACTCCAGAGTACTGAATTATACCTTCAGGCTTGGGTTAGTGGGATGTTTAACAAAGAGATCCATTTGCCAAAAGGATCTCTGCCTGTTTTTTAATTATGGAACTAGCACCTCCTTCAACATTTGTAAATTATTGAGTTTTTTTCCTCATGTAAAGTTGTAGAGTACTAGTTGTTGGCTTTTGGCTCTTGTTTTTTCTTTTCTCAAACTAAACATTTTTGCCTGTCCTTGAATTAACCCTATGAATACCAGGGACATGAAACATTTCAACAATGTTTCTGTTATGAATAATGAGTTGCATGCTCTATGGAGAAAATAAATGTGAACTTTAAATATGTATTGCTTTTCTTATAATTCTGGAATGCTTTTGAGTGCTTGGAGTAGGATGAAACTTTTCTTTAAATTGAGGAAAACAATATTTATAGGTTCTTTGTAGTCATACATATCCATCTTACTTTAGTTAACAATAGTAGGTATATAGCATCCAATGTTTTTTTCTTTTTTTAGTAGCAAGGTACCTCCATCCTTTTACATATTTTACCAGCCAACTTTTGTATATAGCATTTTCTTTTTTGAGATAGCCATTATGCCCTTGTCTGTTATCAGCTAATACTACCATACATTTATTAAACCTCAGCATCAAAAATCCCTTTCAAATTGTGTGAAATAATGATACTCTAGCATGATATAAAATTTTCAAATGGGTGATGCATCAGGAAAATTCATGATGAAGTATGATGTATGCTATATACATACATGGGTTCAGTGAAGAGATGCCCCTAACTGTGTCTGCTTGTATTTACCAGTGTGGTCAGGCAGAACAGACAGGGCAGCATAGTAAAATATTTCTAGAAAGTCTGTTGGAATACTTACTATATCTGACTACTTCAGGCAAAAAAAGGTACTAGCAATGTGGGAGGTGGAGGAGGGGGGAGGCTAGGATGTTGTCACTATACTCCCCTCCTACAGACTATAACATTTAAAATAAACAGTGTTAGTCATTACACCTTCTGTTTTGCTCTTTTGAAAAAGCATTTATCAAGCAGGGCAAGTTTTTTCAGAGACAGGTCACATAAGACTGTTTCAATGATTTTCACTGTATCTCATGAGAGATTGGACAGCTGCTTAGCGCGTGATATACATATAGGTGAGTGTTTCTCTCTTACAAGGGAAGAATGGAAAAGAGGTGAAGTTATAATGTTGTTTCCCTTCACCAGTGCCCCTAGTGACAATGGCATGGGGAACCGCATATATTTTTAAGTTGGTCTGATAATTGTTTAGAAATTATCTTGTTCAACATTCTAACATTAGCAGTAGTCATTGTGAGTATTTGAATAGGAAATACTTCAAAATTTTACTCCTTCAGCAGCTTTATTTTCCTTCTGAACTGTTTTGTCAATATTCTTCCAATATGCTACTCTACCAATAACTAAATGAAAATTGAAGGTTTAAGACCATTTTAACTGCAGCATATGTCAAGCATTTTTATAATGGAACAAAACAGTTTTCTATATAGAGAAAACTTTCTGAATAGTGATATATGCACTGTATTATGCATGATTGCAAAACACACTGCAGTTTCAATAGCTATATAGGGTAAAGGATTTTTTCCTTTACAATGATGTTTTTAGCAAAAGCTACATATTCCATATTGCAAATCTGCACATAATGAAAATTTATTATATATCCCTCACACAAAGTTAGCCTCAAATCAGGGAGAAGATACAAAAATAGTAGATTAATTTTAGACTTCTACTAAAAATCAATAATTGCCTAGGTATTTCTTTTTATCATGGAAAATTAGCTGCAAGTTGATAATTGGATTTTTTTGTCCATCAGACTTGTGTAGTTTTCTGAAAGAAACTACAGAGAATTGAATTTGAATAACTTGAATAGCTGCATATGAAAACTCTTGGAACATAATGTTACAATGAACATTCCTTATTTCCGTTTCAATAGAAATGAAAATTCTCTTATGAATATACAGTTTCTTATGCTGCTTAAATGTTGGGGTTTGGGGTTTTTTTAGCAGTGTTTTGTGGGTTTCAAATTTTGGTTTGGGTGAGGGAAAGAGAAGGAAAAGGTATGAAACTTTGTAGGTCAAGGCAGAATATTTTTGAAATATTTCCTACTTTTCATTCTTGAAATGCATGGTGGTAGAAATGTCTAGAAGCTTTTCGTTAAAGTAAATGAAAATATGTCTTCTTTGAAGAAATTAAATTGTAAATTGAGGGCATTTTCATGAAAATTTGTCAGACTGAAAATGAGAACAAGTTGGACCATCATGTTCACAGTTCAAAAACTGCTTGAGGAAACATTAACTTTTAAATACTTTAAAACTTTCATCAGAAATTAATCCAGTCTTCCATGTAGAAACACTGAGGAAAACATTTATATGAAAAAGTTATTGTCCAATTGCTGAAAATACAGACCAATTAGTGAGATTTAATTTAGATATTTGTCACTGAGTATGCATCATGTATATGTTAGAGCTGATTTACCATTATTTCCTTGCCTTATTTGCAAAAAGCGACTCCTACTTATTGAAATATTACTGAAGAATCTAGCTTTCCCCACAAATTACACACTTTTTGCATAAATGTGCCTAATTACCTGAATTCAGTTTTGATTAGCAGTGTTAATTGATGCAGCTGTGGATGGGCTCTGTTTACCTAAATTACCATGTGCAAACAGCAATATGTCTGAAAGTGAATATGCTAAACTGAAAATACTAATTAGCTAAGACAGATTGTTATTCAAGTCACATCTCAGAGCTTTTTAATGAAAGTCTGAATGTGTCAGGCCTTTATGATATTCAGACAGAAATGTCTATATTACATATGAATTCTAAATTTAATTCAAGCGAACAGATGGGATGTCGACCGCAGTTCTTCTCCATCGCTTCCAGTATTAATGTGAATATTTTACTCTACTGGATACATTTCTGAGTGTGTGTATGTAAGAGAGAAAGAAGTGTATGTGTGCATGTGCGTGTGTGTGTGTGTGAGAGAGAGAGGAGGGAGGAATTCATTGTGTGCTTTGACAATGTATCAGCCAAGAACAGCTAGCTGGTCTATTTTGGATCGACATATTTGCAAATTGTAGGCACCTTGTTTCCCAGAATGAAGATAAACAAAGTATTTTGCAGATTTAATAAAGCTAAACTGTAAATGCAATAAAGCCAAATAACAGAAAGGTTAGGTAGATCTCAGTAACAGATCTATTACCACAGCAGAGATTTCTCCTTTTGCAACAATAACAAAAATATATCAGTGTTTTTTATATGAGAGGACAATTGGGCTATGTGTTTCAAGTTGCCATGGAA